AATGGCCCCCAGCCTCCCAAATGTCAGCAACATTGCCTATGTACATTATGACTAACATGAATAATTTTGTATCTCTAATTTAAAAACCATTAAATTAATGGTTAAAAAATGTAATTCAAGAAAGCAAAGGTCTCATGCTTTACCTCATATTGACTGTAACACATAATGGTGTGATCTGAACACAAGCTTTTGGAGTTGTTCAGTACAGTCCATGGATTGTGCAGCACTCTTTAAATAGTTTTTTTGCATCACACGCATAAATATTGTCAATTGTGCAATTCCGCTGTGTGCAAACAGGAGGCATCTTTCATTTATTGTAATAAGAAATCATTAGGTTCCGATTCTTCAAAGTTAAAAGAAATAGGTCTAGTGTTTTCTGATTTGAACAATTCCAATTTAAACTAGAATCATTGTTTAAATATGCAGAAGAATATGCAAAAGATTTCGAAAGAGAGAAGGTGTTAAGCCGGAGCGTCGATAAACGAGCTGAACCCTATGTGTAGCGAGTGTCCGAGATGGCAAACAAGATGGTGAGGCGTAGTCCAAAAAAGCAAAATCCAAGGGTCGAAATGAGAGGTCAAAATCTGTGAGATCATTCAGGAAAAGTGCACAGTGAGAAAAAGGAAGCAAGCAGTGAACTGACTAGCCTGTGATTCAAAATACCATGTGAGGAAGTGTGGGAGCAAGGAGCTTAAATTGTGAAAAAAGGGACGTGATTAGTTAATGAGGTAACGAGTGCGATTAATGTGGTCAGGTGTGTAGGGTGGTCGTAACAGGAGGTATTTCAGCCAATCTTACTTGTTTGGTTGCTAATAGTTATTTGATCTGAGGATTTCATCTAGCTTTTTCTTAATATAAGTCACAGCATTGGCTTTAACAGAATAGCTGGGTTGGTTGTTCCAGAGACTAACAACCTTTTCATTAAAAAAAAGTCCTCAAATCTAAATATCACAGTATTTTCCACTTGTGACCTCTGGTTTATGTTTTATTGTTGATAGAAAAGAAGACCATATGGTTGACTTTGTCAGTACTGTACCTTTAAGGATTTTGAATTATTGTATCCCCTTATAGACTAGACTAAAAAGGTTAATTTATTTCAGCATGTGAGTTGTATGATATTGTTTTAAGCTAAAGCACCGATAATTTTTATAATATGTAGATAAAACTGTGCAAAATATACTAAATTAGTCTTACTATTGCATCATTCTAACATGACATACAGTTCATTGATTTTGTCTATGTTCACCTATTTTTTTTTCATTTGTGGAGAAGAAAACGATAGGTCAACTCCTACAGTAAGTATTTTCCTTAGCTATCATAAGATCAGTGTTTATTAGCTGTATGTAAAACTCTGTGCTCTTCTGCTTAACAAAATCATCCCCCAAGTGTTTTATAAGTCTTGAAAACTATTTAGGTCTTTCAAATTTTAGTTATTACTTTCACAAAGTTCTCTAATACTCCAATTTGGTAAAAGTTGTGGTTTCGTCTAGTTTACTTACTATCCCAGAATCTAGGCCACCTACTGTGTAGAAATTAGGAAGAGTGATGGTCCTAATACAGATCTATGTGGTACCTCACTTATTACATTAATCCTGCATTCTATGATTTTTACCCACAAACCATTTCTCAATCAGAATGCAAACAGTATATCATCATGGGTAGATTCATTTGAAAATATGAACATTGTCAAAAATATCTATTCATGTTTAGGGTCAGAGAGCCATAAAAAAATGATATGACTAATGGTAAAAAGTTAAATCTTTGAATCTCTGTGACTTTCTATTTCTTTTTGTTAGGTTCAAGATCAAGGCATGGCTCAAATATTTGGTGCTACAATTCATTCTTGTGTTCAGTCTAACGGAGCAAAAACTGTTTTTATAATTGAGGTCAGGAAGAGAAAATCAATGTTTGATTGTGACTGGCTGTGAAGCAACAAAAGCTTTAATTCACTTGAATGCCTTACATGAAAGCACCAAAGCAGAGAGCTGATGTTATTTTATCTAAATGGTCAAAATTTGAAAAATAAACTGAAACCAAACCTTTTAATGAAAATGCTGAACACTCAACTACATGATACAGTATGTCTGTGTATATACTCTATATGTAACGTGTGCTTTTGTACTTAACATGACAAATCTTGTAGCTGCTGAAACATCATTAGGGTTGCACTCGCTTGTTCTAACACTTTTTAGCAGCAAGGCATGCACAAAGGTACATGAGTGGATACAGAACATGATTTCTTTAATCTCTATATTGGCCATGTTTTTTTAAAGAAAAACAAAAGTTGAGATCCAAGTGAAAACCTGTTGAGCTTATTCTACCAAACGCAATGTCAGCGATTGGCCAAGATCCAAAGGTCACATGCAAAATACCCAGTTGACCACTTTTAAGAAATATCAGCCAGATAAAGTCCCTGTTCACTTAACCCCTTGTGATGTGTTTGGTAGCTTAATTAGCTATCAATCATGTTCTTCCCCAACCCATATTTTAGCAGCAAGGCATGCACAAAGGTACATGAGTGGATACAGAACATGATTTCTTTAATCTCTATATTGGCCATGTTTTTTTAAAGAAAAACAAAAGTTGAGATCCAAGTGAAAACCTGTTGAGCTTATTCTACCAAACGCAATGTCAGCGATTGGCCAAGATCCAAAGGTCACATGCAAAATACCCAGTTGACCACTTTTAAGAAATATCAGCCAGATAAAGTCCCTGTTCACTTAACCCCTTGTGATGTGTTTGGTAGCTTAATTAGCTATCAATCATGTTCTTCCCCAACCCATATCCTTTAGAAAGTGATTATGTACTTCCAAAACAACAAACAGAACAAAACAAAGTACAGTGCATGGTGAGGGTTATGACCGAGGCTTAGAATTATAACCATACACTGTGTGTGCAGCTGTAAGTACCTATCATCGTGCAGTTCTTGTCTGTTGCAACTTCTGTGTTTTTAAAAACCTTAGACAGTAATGTGCAATTTTTTTAGGCTGTAAAAGAAAACCTAAAGTTAGAATGTGATTCATACTGTGTGCTATTACATACTGAAACGCATGGAAAGAAGTGGACAATTTACAACAAAAATGTTGTAATTTAATAAATCACAATGATTTATGGGAATTAAGTTTCAGAATCTATTTTTGCTCCATGACCAAGTTTTGCTTCAGGCATAACATTAGCTCTAGCTCAGAAAGCCTACAGATACTGAGACTGCCAAAGTACGCCACAGCACGTGAATAGAAATAATAAAATATAATACATACTGTATTATAGAAAATTCATACAAGAAAAGGACAAAAATATTTTTGTTTAAATGAAAGGACATAATTCCTACATACAGTACTCTGATCTTTGGTTCTTCACAAAATGCAGAATTTACCCAAACCTCAAAGTGACTTGTGATGTGTACAGTATGTATACAAGTAAAGACCTTGTGTTACAACAGCAATACTTTTTAGGGGTTAGTAATAATTAAGAATTCATATTGAATGCTAATAAAAAGCTATGCTTGAATCATTATGTACTGTACAGTCAGTTTTGTGATGTTTTTTGACAAGGGTTTTAGTGACTGGCAGTTTTACTGGATCTAAAAATACTAATTTATGTGTTATTGCAGACAAAACTGACAAAATAAGAATGGGTGATATAATGGAACATATTGCTGTACATACAAAATAAAGAAATAACATGGTGATCTGAGTGATTATTTTATCCTCTTCTTTAAATATTCCAAACCACACCTGAATTATGTTTTTAATATTACATTTTTTAATGTTATATGATGTTTTGTACTAGAAGGATTCATCTCAATTTTTATTCAAAACTTCCTATGGCAACCTTGATGTACAGTATGTACAGTATTTCACACATTGCTGGTTTTGCCGTGGATTAATCAAGGATTTTCTGCAGTTTCACTATGTTGTATTACATTGGTCATGACAGTTAGCTAAAAGTGTATAAGGAATGGCCCAGTGCAGTAAAGCATTTAGCAAATCAAAGAAACCAACTGATAAAATGCTGTGAAACTGTAGTAAAACCAATACAAAAGGAAAACATCTAATGGCGAATTTAATTTTTTAAATTTTCAATAGATGGATAACTAAAAAGCTTTACGTATTTGAAGAAAAATGTGTTTCCCATCATTTTAATGCCATTATGTCAGTCATTGCGTTTCTGTGTAAAAATAGTTAAAAAGTAATCGTTAAACAGACATTTAATTTATTACAAAACAGTTACATTACAAGTTTATTTTTTCAGATTTTGTAGGCAGACAGCAGATAAACTTCTTAACAGTAGGGGATGCTGTTTTGCTAGTTTTTTTCTGCAAGCTAACTTTACCTCATCTATTCAAAATACATTTTGCAATAGAATATTGCTGTTTTTTCTAGTTGTTCTGTAAGTGGGTATAGATACAACATTTTAATTTTCAGAAAAAAAAAACTAATGGAAGTAGTTTTAAAGGTTTGTATCAGTTTGTATCAGGCAAACAGAAACATTTACTGAATTAACTGTACATGTATCACATAAAGTACTATAATGATATAAGAATGCATATTTGCATATTACAAAATAATATTGTCTAATGACAGACATGATTGTTTTATGATTGGTTATCCATTTTGCACCTCAGTTATTTCATGGAAAAGAATTAAGTGAGAATAATGTATTATTCACACATTTATGTATTTGCTTTGTTACACTATAAATCAGTGCACTCATTTTATTTTTTTTTCTTTTGCAGTCTTTGGACCTAACACCTCAGAAATGGAGAAATAAAATGGCTGCATCTAATTTCTAATAGGAAACATGCAGGTGATAATTAGTAAATGTAAATTAGAGTGTCATATGATTAGCAGGATGAAGCTTCAGTCATTAGATTTGTGAGTGTTTAATTATCTTGTGGTTGCACTGAATTTGAACAAGGTGGAAGTCTGCTTCACAACCAGTGGCGCATTTTCTCAATACATGCCTCCAACTCCACCACAGACGTTCCACATTCTCTGCAGAAGGGCTGGAGTCGTGGTTACAGCACAAGTGAAATGCACAGCATGTAAATCCCAGCACAAAAGCCTTCTTCTCTGCCTTACAATAATTCAGTCAGCCCATGAAATGCCTGCCGGTGGCTGCTGAAAAACTGTCGGGTTTATAAGCAAGTATCCAATCGAGGATATTGGGACAGCTCTGGCTCTGGCTCTTTGTGATTTGTGTGCTAATTGTGTGGGTGCTTTGGGGAATACAGCAGAGAAGCCGAGTGTTTCCTGACTGCATCCAGTGAAGAAAGACATATACACAGTGCTGCTCCGTGGATAGTGGTTAAGTGATTAAGCATCCAGCCCCAGCTGAGAAAATGGTTTCATTGTCAGTCAGCTGTACTGGCAGCCTGTAAGAACTGATTCTGCCTAGTTAATGCAATGACCTGCTCAAAGACTGGAGCTCTAATTTAACAAAAAAGAAGAAAGCTTTTTCCTCAGCATAGTTCGGTAAGTAAAGAAAAGCCTGACTTACTGCACTTGAAATTTGCTTTTTAAAATTAATATTATTAGGGGAAAAATGTTCAGATTTTTTTAATACTCCTTTTAGTTTTGCTCAGACTTCTTATTCAAAATGTAAATATATATATTTTTTCATTTATCAATATCGTTTTGGTTTAGTGATTCAAACATTTCTTTTTTGAGATTTCTTTTAGATAATAACAATGTGGAAAAGTTTTGTGCTATAAAAATAATACACTGTAAAATTACATGCTTAAAATGTGATGCTTCTTTCAGGCAAATATTTAACAAATAATTATTTGTTTCTCGTTCATTTAATTGCTATAAATGACCATTACGGGAGAAAACATTAACTGAATTTATTATCTTTTACAAGTGATGTGGTTTACAAATGCCTACATAGTTCAGTTCTGCAAGAATTGTGTTGGAATTTTTCTGTGTCCCACATTAAATCTTTGATACCCTATACTTCATCATACTTTAAAAAGTTAGACCTGATCATGCTTTCTGTATCTCATCAAAATAATATATAAATATATATTAATAGCTTTTTTTAGATAACTGCATTGTGTCAGCATTAGACTTTAAATTAATTTGTCAATTATGCAACTTTAATTCATCATGAAGTTACAATAATGTTTTAGCTTTAAAATGAACCATCAGGAATTTCAACATAGACTATTTTGTGATCATCACCTCATGCATATAATGCTGATACAATAGTCTGTGAAGAGCAAAGTAATGCTGCCTAAGGCTGCTGTGATTTATCTCTTGTTGGTTTCTTTTTGATCTAGGGCAAATATCAGCACTGACAGTCAATTTCTTTTACAGAAAATAACTTTAAATACAGTACATCATGTCTTATCTGTGTTGAAGCACAGTCACATTTTCCTTTCAGCTGTTTGCTCTTCATAACTTTAATTAGTCAGAAAACATTTAATACAAATTATTCATCCACAATGCAATTGATTTCTTTTGAGTCTGTATTTATTTCTCTAAGCAGAAAGGTTTGTAAAACATAGAATCATTCTAAAGGGATAGCTTTATGCATGAGCGTATGTTGTACTTCTGTGTGCACTGCAGTGCCTGGTCATATCGGTATCTTGTGCCAAAATACGCATCACCTGAGACACGGATGAGACTAATGATGCAGAATATACAGTTTTTGAGATTAATCCAGCTTTAAACTCCCCCTCTTAGCATTTTTCAAAAAGATCAGAAAAAAAGGATCAACCTGCACATACAGGTATATGAGCCTTGTACAATGAAACAACAGATAATGGTAATGCTTCATTATAAGAAGTGCAAATGTATGTATAAAGTCCGTAGTACATAATACATAAAGAACACACTATACATATTGATAAATTAATGCTGTTTCAATATCCTAGTAGCAAGCAACCCTTACTAATTATTCTTTGTAGAAACTTAAAAAAAAATTCAGTATTCTAAAGGTAACAGACTAATAAAACAGTATGTTTGTAGTACACAGTCCTACATTTCTTTATTTTTTAACCTACAGTATACCAATTTCTTCCATTTATAAACACCTCCAATTTTGCAAAAATAAGTCACTAAGTCAAAGGAATAAATGGAAAATCTTCTGTAATTTTGTTTGAAAATTATAATGCAATACTATATATATATCTCAGAGAGTTACAAGTAATTAATCTCATTGTATACTAGAGGAAAGGTATAAATTGTCTTGTAACAGCAGGAAGCTGATAGAATATGTTATACTAACTGTAGGTAGCAGACATATTCACTTAATCACAAACAGGCACTTTGAGGACATTAGAGGACAAGGCAGTATTGGGGACTGAACATCATTATTTTTTAAAAGAGATTTCCTCTGTGTCCTGGTATCACATGGCCATGCACAGTTGTTTTTGGAAACTATGGAAAGTCCATATTCTCTTTTTACTGGAAGAACCAACACGGTGAAATATGCTTAAGTGAATTTGAATATGGCAAATATTATAAAGCCTCTTATAAAGCCAATTGCCAGGTTCACTTAATGCTTAGTAGAATGTGACACCTTATAACTGGACAGTAGGGGTGCAAGGGTGTAAAGTGATCAGATTCTATGTCACAACATTTCAAAAAGAATGAAAACTTTCATACGATTCTTAAGATTTCATATTGCTGCCCCACAGACAGGAAAACTTTCAGAAGATGTTAATGCAATTCGTAAATTGCAACATAAAACATTAGCAGCATATGTTTATTTTAGTTTTTTTCCCCTTGTGTTAGGAAATCCTTAATTTGAGACACCACCCACAAAAAGAGGCTCACAATGGTTTATCAATAAAGTCTATTTTTATGATAAAGATGAGGGCAGTGCAGTTTCTTTCTGGGAAGATGAGGAATGGAAAAACAATCTGTTCAGCAGAGTGTGTGCTACCCATCTGTTTCACGACTTAGTGAGATATTCCTTGATAAGAAAGTTACATTTTCTGCATGAATAGTTGTAAAGTACATTATCTGGTGGAAATCATTGGCAATAGTTTTCATCTAATTTGTGCAACAAATAGGAAGAAGATTAAGAACCAATACAAGATGTTTTTCAGTTTCATTAGATTTTTTGGTAGATACAGTATGGGACTTGTGCTTGAAAAAAAATATTTATTTTTTGTTATTACTGATCTTGTAAGGGAACTATGAGTCTATGAGAATTTAAGAGATAGGACTTTAGTTAATGCTGTAACAAAGAAAGAACTCTAATTTCCAGAGATGATGGACAATTTCAGAATGCAATTGCTTCTCACAGTAGATGTCACTCACAGAGTAAGCAACTAAGACCAAAGGTTCAGTGACTCAATATGTTAGTTCACTGATCTGTTGGGACTGAATTGTGACAGCTATGATAGTAGAAGGATAAAAGAGACAACCCAATCTCCAACATTTCTTAGATTTCCAGTATTGGCAGCATTTTGTTTTTAAATTTCACAATCATGTAAGAAAAAAGTAGAAGGTGTACAATGAATGTGTAGTCTCAACTTAATTTAGGCATACTGTATCAAATTTACTTTGATTTATTGGTATATTCCTAACTTCTGGTGACCAAATGATGACCGTTTTACCATTAAAAGAAAAAACATAACATGATTCAGCTGTATTTAACATGTTTAAAAAGCAATTATAATCCAAATAAAATCAAGCTTGATCAGGTAATTTAAAAAAAAAACTAAAGTAAATGTGATCTTTATTAAAAAACAGTTACATGGCTATTTGCATACTTACTGTAAATTAAAAAAATAACAATAAAACTGTATTGTTGTTGTTTATGATCTTTAAGCTATGGCAGACACTTGATTAGCCATTTAGTGTCAGTCTTCTTTTTCATTATATACCAAGGATAATGTTAAACTAACATGCATATACTGTAGTTGCATGTGTTACTGCCAGCTTCTGTGTCAGCAGCACTTGAAATAGGGGGCAGGCATACTTCAATAATTGTTGTGACTTGGAATAGAAAATGGAAATCAGGAGATTAATATTTGAATTTTATATTTTTCAGTGGCAGATTTAAAAGGTTCATTCTAAAGGCCTGTGATGCTGAATGAATCCTGGAACAAAACAGCAACAGAAGTTTCAGTCTATTGTTAACATCTTCCTACACTAAACTGCACTTGCCAATTCTAATCACTTTAACAATAAATATATTCCACTCCACTGCTTTGTCTGGCAGATATGTGAGTAGGTTTTGTTAAACACAGGAGAGCAAAAGTCCCAGTTTTCCTTCATCTTTGAAAGAACACACAAATCACAAAAATGCCCATGTAATCATTGGATATGAACTGCCAGAAAATGAGATGAATTATGGAAATGTAAATCTTAATTAGCTCTAGCTTTTCACAAAGATAGAACTCTTATAAGGAGACTTTGCATGTACAGTACAAAATCAAAGTAAGCAATGTTTATTGTTTATTGTAGCTAAACTGTAACCAGTTAATGGTCAGTATTCACAATTTTATAACTAATAGTGACTTGCTTATTCTAATCCTGAAATGTGTTCTGTATTATATTGATAGATGATGTAGATGTATGGATATTTACAGAAAGCCAAGTGATTGAGGATCGATTAACTAACATGACCTCTGCCCCTTGGGTTTACTTCAGTTCTGATTACCCTGTTATCTGGTCAGATCTGTTACAAAAATATAATACATTGAGCTAAATCTATGCTTCCAGATCTTACAGTTAAACTGTAATTGAATGTTTTACATGTTATGTTCTCACTGTGAAAGAGCTGCAACATCAACTCAGGGATAATTTAAAACATGAGTTATATTTTGTATTACAAAAAGAACCTTGAGTGGTGTAAAAGGTCACAGTGATGGCTGATGTTTTCTAAGTTGGAAAAAAAAGTTATTGTTTATGTTTATGTATGTTACACACTCTCTGGCTAAAATATTAGGCACTACAAGTCAAATGAAGAAATTCTCTGAGTGACAAGTAATGAGTAATGAGGTGCTTTAGGAATTTTGATTAATTCATATTCTGTTATATTAATGCTAAGCAAGAACAAAGCATTGGTGACACAATAACAAATCCCGGGAATGAGTCCAAAGGAGAGCCACATTGCTAATTAATGGCCTTAAAGACATTTCTTACACAAGCAGATTAAATTAACTGTGCACATGTGGAAATTAAAAGAATTTAAATTAAGAGGTGCTTCTTTACGCAAATGTTTGTGGTGGTCTGTAATAAACTGCAAAGCTAAGTTGAGAAGCAGATTTCCTAGAATCCTTTAGGAAATGGCCGGACAAAATCCTTGGACCAATAAGCTACAAGCGAAATGGGAGCCAGTCGTGACTCCCGTAAAGTGTGTAGTTTAGGACCCTGTGCAGACTGTATAATCCGGAAGTGACTGGAGTAGGACATCGGGGGAAAGATGGCAGGATCAGGACAGGATGACAGACAGGGGGGTGGTGATGGCAGAGATCTGGTGCTTGGGGGCATGGTGAAGGCATACGTGTCTGAAA